AGATAATACAAGTAATTGGTTAAACAGGCACTAGAAGTTTGAAAAGTCTAAAAAGGAACTCTGAAGTGACATAGAGGCCCAGCTTAATCCTCAGATCTCTGAGGAATGGGCACTAATCAAATGATTCTGAAACACAAAAGGTAGCACAGTGAGCCTGGTTTTGGGGTACTACAAAAAAGCGGAGCTGTTCACAGCTTCCTAACCAACAGACTAACTGCAGGTGATTCTAGTCACCCGATTGTAGAAACATTTGTACGGCAGAAGATTCTGCACCATCACATACTGGATTTATTCCCAGCACCGGCAGGCACGCCCTACCAAAGATCCTTGCTATTGAACTGATGACTGGGCTCTCGGTAGCTCTTGATGAGTTTGGGCTTACTTAGCTCAGTAACCCACAGAAAACACCTGACAAGGTGATTGAAATGGGAAAGTGAAGTGTTGAAACCCTCTAAAGCTGCTCTGAATTTTTCAGTGAAGGAGAGGGAGACAGAACGGGGAGGGGGAGAAGAGAGGAACTTGAAAGGAGAACATAGGAAGTATGCCCAATTTTCTAGTGGAAAGGAAACCATTTTAACCAAGGTGTTAAAAGCAAGGAGAGAGGATTTTAAGAGATTAGTCTGCTGTCATAGGCTCTTACACTGTTTTATTCATTTCATGAAGACCATTTGGCTCTGTTCAGCTCTTCATTTGAAATTGAGGAGCCATACACTTCACAGGCAGCCTTCCAAAGTTTATTCCCGGGAAGGTCACATTCTGCCTATCTTCCTCAAATTTGCTGTGGAAGGAGGAAGGATAAAGGAATCCTTTACTCCTTAGCCAAGGAGGACACATTGTAAGTACTCCAGTGAGCCAGGAGACTATGGCAGCTTTGAGGGTAAGATTATAAACTGATTTTTAAAAACATTTAAAACTACAGTATTCCAAAAAGTGGTCTATCTTAAAGGTTGAGATCCTAAGTACTGGGATATTATAGAACAGGGGCTAGGGCCTCCCTGGTGGCACAAGTGGTTAAGTCTCAGCACTATGAAGCTATCCTCAGCCACTGCAGTGAGTTCGATCTCTGCCCAGGCAGGGAGTTGCCCACGTGGCGCAGCGGACCAATCCTGACTCACCAACTGCTCCCCTCAGCAGTGCATTTCAGTCAGTCTGTCTGTTCTGTTTCCCACTCTTTCTCTGGTGAATCCTCTCACCCCCCACACCTCTGGCCCGTACCCCAGTTCTTGTATGCATAAATAAATAAATCTTTTTAAAAAAAGAACAGGTATTGATCATGAAAAAATTTCTTTTTTCTTTAATTTTCTCTTTTTTTAATTTTTTTATTTCATTGTATATATTTTTTCATCATTTTCCATATTTGCACAGTGTATGCATTTTCATCTTGGTTATAGTCCCCATACAATTCCCACCCCCTCTTGTTTTGATCCTACTCCCTTCTTCCCACCCCCATAGTGTGTCTCTGAGTTATAGTTGCTTGTTGGTTTTGAGTTTCCCTTTATTATAATTAGTCTCTTTCCTGGTCCCTAATTTAGGTTTTCTAAATTCCTGCTATGAGTGAGACCATCTGGTATTTTTCTTTTTCTTTCTGGCTTATTTCGCTGAGCATGATCCCCTCTAGCTCCATCCATGTTGCTGCAAATTACATGAGTGTATCTTTTTTGACTGCTGAGTAATATTCCATTGTGTATACGTAGTAGTAAATATGTAGTGGTCTTCTTGATCCAGTCATCTATTTTTGGGCATTTGGGTCGTTACCATAGCTTAGCTATTGTAAATAGAGCTGCTATAAACATAGGGGTGCAGGTGCCCTTTTGAATGAATGTTTCTGTGCCCTTTGGGTAAATACCTATGATTGGAATTGCTGGATCATATGGAAGCTCCATCTTTAGCAGATTGAGGAATTTCCACACAGCTCTTCATAGTGATATGACCAGTTTGCACTCCCACCAGCAGTGCAGGAGAGTTCCTTTTTCTCTACATCCTCACCAATATTTGTTGTTGCTAGTTTTTTAATATGTGCCATTCTCACTGGTGTAAGATGGTATCTCATGGTAGTTTTGATTTGTATTTCCCTGATTACAAGTGATGTTGAACATTTTTTCATATGCCCGCTGGCCATTTGCATTTCCTCTTTGGAGAAGTTTCTTCTTAGCTTTTCTGCCCATTTTTTGACTGGATTATTTACTTTGTTTTTGCTGAGTCTCATCAGCTCTTTATAGATTTTTGTGATCAGCCCTTTATCATTAGTGTTGTGTACAAAAATTTTCTCACAATTGGTAGGGTGTCTCTTTGTTTTGGTTACTGCCTCTTTTGCTGTACAGAAGCTCTTTAATTTGATGTAATCCCAGCTGTTTATCTTTGCCTTCACTATCACTGCCTTGGGTGTTGTGTCTTTAAAGATGTTACTGAGGTGCATGTCATGTAGTGTTTTGCCTATATTTCCTTCATGAAGAAATTTCTTAAACTCGCTAAGCCTCCCTTTCTTTATTTGTGTAATAGAATGATCCATATACTGGCAGTATCCATGTACAATATCTCCTAACTGTACCAGAGAACTCAGAACTTCTTTTCATTCTCTGTTAAAGAAGCCCTTCACATCAAATGTATATCATACTGAAGATTTCAAAGACAACCTAAAGGAGATGACAAGAAAAACTACATTTTCTCCAAATTGCCCATTAGATATGCTTTCCAAGTCTTGCTTCTCATGGCTAATATGTCTCCTTTTTATCTATCTTCTTTTATGCCCAGGCTTTCTGGTTTGGGTTTCTTCTCTACTCAGAAACGTGCTCAGCAAACAAAGGACCCTCCAGCTATTAGTAGCCCACATCCTCTAGAGCAGCAGCTTATTTAAAAAAAAAAAAAAACTTTTTGTTGTGCCCTGTGGAAAATTACAGTAGCTACACAATGGGGTTTTGGGATCAAAGTGATTTGCACACTAGCACATTGTTAATCAAATATTTGCTGTTATTGTTATTTTTATTATTACTATTTATTTTATGGACTCCTTCACAGAGCAGAGTTCTCATTCTGTTCCAGTGTTAACATGGATGAAAGGATACTTCAGATTTTAATGTAAAAAATTTTTTTTGAAAAACAAACTCAAGTCAGATTCTGTGTCTTTGAGGAAGTTCCACTTTGTCTGGGCATTTGTGTTCTCTTTGCTCCCTAACTAACTCCAAGGTCAATTCCTCAAGTAGTAAATTGGCTCAGGCACCCCTTACATTCTGTGTTCTGGGGGAGAGGATACTTTAATACATGTTTTTGAAAGGAATAGAGAAACAACATTTATTGAGCTCTTTGTGAACAGAAATGTACTAAATACTATGGTTACTTAATACTCAAGGAAAACTTATGAAATAAGTTATTATTATTCTCCTATTTGGAATCTTGGTCTCAGAGATAATAATTAATCGTGATGTTAATCCCTGGTTTGGCTAGAACGCTGTGAAACACAGAGTAGCCACAAACCTCACCACAACCAAATTTATGAATCTAGAGGGAAATTTTAAAAATCATTTTCCAAATGTCTGTGCACAGTGTGTCAATATATCTTGACATCTAAAGACTTTATAAAGGGACTTTCTCCTTGGCTGACAACTTTCTTCTGTCGCAGAACCTTGTCACAGCTGTTGGATTGTAAAGAGAAAGTAAAAGAACATTCTTACTAATCTCATTGCCTCCCTGATCCTCATTTCTTCATGTCTAGGGAGAATAGACAGAGACAGAAGATCATTGGCTCTCTGCCCCTGGGCTGTCAGTGGTCAAGATCTTTTAATTCTCCACTTATTTTCCATTAAACGGGCATCTAAAAGGAGGACCTGGGACTGTTTCTTTTACACTGCCGCTCAAGCTATGTTCTTAACACTGGCCCATTCCACCTTCTGCCTGGTAACATCCCTTTCACACAGCTCAAAGCAGAAATACAAGCAATAGATTTAAAGTGGGATAGCGAGGGAGCTGGAATTTAGAGAAAATGAGTTTGGAGTGGTTGTGAGACATCCGAATGGAGATGCAGGTCTGGGGCTGATGTCAAAGCTGTTGCTCGAAGACATAGAAATAAGAGGTGTATCCAAGGCCAAGAGAAGGAATTGGTAAGGAGAAAATGTAAGAGAGGAGGGGAGGGGAAGGCAGGGAGGGGAGGGGAGAGGCGGGGAGGGGAAAGGAGGACTTGAGAATCTGACTGGGTTCTGACTTCCTGGGAATGGCGAGTTAAGAGGAAGAAGATTCACTGTGAAAGTGAGCAGAGGATGAGCTGCCCATCCATCCATCTCCCCATGTCCCCAGTGCCATTAGCTGTGGTTTGGGCTGTACTCTAAGCAGGTGTGTGAGCTTCACCACCAGCACTCTGTTTTTGTTGTCTTATATACTGGCTGTCATCTCTCTTCTAAATATTTTTCCCATCCTTAAGGACTCTGAAGGGCACTTTGTTTCTCATTCAGCATCAGGCAAATGACAGCTTTTGATTAAGCAGGCAGTCAACAAATCTACACATTGATGCGCCCAGGATATGAAGGTTCATTCCCTTAATAACTCTCCTCTGAAGCAATGCTCCGGTCCTCACAGTTAGAATCACCTCACTTTTCAGGCCTCCCCTAGTAGCGCGGCAGGTTAAGCACAGCGCTGTGAAACTGTCTGCAGCCTCTGCAATGTGGGTTCTATCCCAGCTGGCCGGCGAGAAACCTACATGGCGCGGCAGACCTCTCCTGTCTCTCCTGCTGCTCCTCTCAGCAGTGCATTTCAGTCAGTCTGCCTGTTCTGTTCCCCACTCTGTCTCTGGTGAATCCTCTCACCCTCCTGCACATCTGGCCTGTGTCCCCGTTCTTCTATGCATAAATAAATAAATCTTTTTTTAAAAAAAAAGATGAGATATAGAAACACCAGGGAATACAACTCAGCTGTTTAAAAAAGATAAAATCTTGCCATCTGCAACAACATGCATGAACTTAAAGGGTGTTATTCTTAGTGAAATAAGACTATGAGACCAAATTAATGGTTAACAGAAGGGAAGGGTTTAATCAGATGAAAAAGGGGTCAACTGTATGGTGAACAATAGAATTGGACTTTAGCGGTGAACTTAATGTAGTATATACAAACACTGATTTATAATGATGCGCACATGAAATATGTTATAATGCAATGTCATGTCAATAAAAAAATTATTAGAAAGTGCAAATCGATCACCTGAGGATGGTGTTAAAATGCAGATTGAGTGGGTCTGGGTTGGGTTCTGAGATTCTGCATTTTAATAAGTTCCCAGATAACACCTACTCTACGGGTCAATGGACTACTGAGTAAAAGCTCTCTGAATTATATTAAATATAAACTGATCTAAACTAAACCCTGGTACTTGATTGCATGTTAAGTCATTATTCCTTAAATTTTAAAGCATCTGTCTACACCTGCCACATTCTCTCCTAGAAGTCAATTGTGAACTCATATGAAGGTTAGTTATACTTTTAAAAGGCTCTTACTAATTTCAGAGACCTGTGCCTTTTGGTCCCTGAAAAAATTTAAAACATCATACCATCAGAAAGTACTAAATGCTTCCTGAAAACAAAGTGTAAGAAACTCTCAAGCTTTTACGGTAACTTAGTAACCTCTGATTTTTCAAATAAGATCGATAGTCATTTAATTAATGTCAGCTGCATTCCTCCCACCTTTTTCATAAAATATGAAGCAAATATTTTACCTGTGACTGTGTTTAAAACTTACTAATCTTCTGAACAAGTAACTTCCAAAGCCAAAAACCCTATTCATGGGGAATAGTTTCATCCCAAATAAAAAAGAGAATCTCATCTTCCAAGATTAGTAATATTGCCCTGGTTTAGTACAAGTTGTGAAATCACATTGTTTTACTAATATGTCACTAAATAGAATCTCCCTTGACATCTCCATAAACAGCACACATACTGTGGATTAATGAGGGTAAAAAAACCTCTCAATGGAATCCAGAAAATTTACTATTGAGGGTTTGAATACACTAAAGCCTATATAAAGATAATAATTCTTTCAGTATAAGATTTTATTCAAGTTCTAGAGAAAAATACAGTTTGGTAAGACATAGCTAATAGTTGGGTATAAGATTGAAAATTGATGAGTCAACAGAGTGTTTCTTGATGAGAAAATGCTTCCTTTTTCATAGGAAATACCTGAAATTAAGAAAGAGCTCCATTATTCACAAATGGTCATCAATAACAAAAGCTATTTCAGCTAGATGAATAACAAAGAGAAACAGGCAATAAATTATTCAGAAATGTGTAAGGCACATTTCATACACATTCACATTTCACTTTATCTTTAAAATATTTAGCAATAAAATATTTTTCCCTTAAGTCACAATTTCTCCTTAAAAACAACAAATCATAGCAATCAATCCATCTTCTGAAATTCTGGAACATTATGTGTACAATTCAAGAAGTAATCATCTAAAATCAGCTCATAGTGCAGGTTACAGTTTCTGCATGGAGCCTGTCTCTCACAAGTAGAGTGTGACCTCTTGGAGGGTAGGCACCATGTTTCCTAATTGTTAGCTGACCTTTTGCCTGTGGCACACTAGTAATACATTTTAGTTTATATCGTCTTTAAGTCACTCTTTCCTTTTTCCCAATCCTGCTTTTCTCCTGTGACTCTTATATTTTCTCCTAATGTAAAGGTAGTGTTTTATGTTCTAAATCATTTTTATGTTGCAACAAAAGTATATCCAACCCAAAATGTAACACTTCACGGTTAATTTTGCAATTACTGTATTTTCTGAGGACATCATCATAATCCATATTATATCAATTGTATACCCACAGTGTACAGGCAAAATTATAGAATGTAAGTCCATCATTCCTAAGTACAGAACATTCTTATTACCTACTATCTCATACTAAACAGTATAGTATTATTAAACTTACCATTTTCACTACAGTTTTGTGTTTGCATAAAACCAGACAAGTTATTAACAAAACAGATAATATGACAAAAGCAAGTGGAATCAAAGAAAACAACAATGTTTCCTTCCATGGGTCACCTAGGGTTAAAAATTTTAAAAAGAGAGAGAAAGAAGGGTTAGATATTTACAATTTATTTTTAAAACTGAACTATTTTATAAATAAACTAGTGAATGGTGAATAACATTAAACCATTTGACAACTTCTACCATGTTTTCCAGCGCATAGATTCCACAGTTATCTTTAAGTATAGTATCCCTTTCATTTATGCAGATTTTTACTAAACTGCGACATCATTTCACTTAGAAAAATAACTTACCAAAGCCCAATTCTTATTTTCTTATGTGATGTCATATAATTCTTAATTCTCAATAGTCAAATATTTATATCATATAGTGTTGTAATGAGAAACATCTGCTCTTCAATAAAAGTCCTTTGTGAATGATGGCACTAGTCTTTAAAAACCATGGGCATGGGTGGTTTTGGTAGAAGGAGAAAAAAGAAATAATTTTGATATAGTCATTACTTTAAAAAATACATTTTCAAGGTTGTCCTGTATTTTAGAAAGTAAAGAACTGAGGTCTTTTCTTTTTTTAGGGATGAAGTTTTTATGGTTCTTTTGCATAGCAAGAAATAAGCAATCAAGAAGAATTAACATTGCTAAAATGGCCATCTTACAAAAGCAGTATACAGATTCAGTGCAATCCCTACCAAAGTTTCTTTTTTTTTTTTTTTTGTGGGACCCTCGCCGGTGGCCGGGGATCGAACTGGTGCTGCAGAGGCTGCGGGCAGCCTCACAACCCAGGGCTCAACCACTGCGCCACCGGGGGGGCCCCCTACCAAAGTTTCAATGGTATCCTTCAAAGAAATAAAACAAACATTACTGATATTGGAACTACAAAACACCCAGAATAGCCACATCAATCCTGACATAAAAGAGGAAGAATGGAGGTATCACATTCCCAGACTTCAAACTACATCACAAAGCTATAGTAATCAAAACATTATAGAAGTAGAACAAAAATAGACACACAGATCAAGGGAATAGAATTGAAAGCCTAGAAATAAATGTACACTTATATGGACAGTTAATCTATGACAAAGGAATTAAGAGCACACATTGCAGAAAGAAGTCTCTTCAACAAATAGTGTTAGGAAAACTATACACCCACATGCAAAAGAATGAAACTAGACCACTCTCACACCATACACAAAAATTAATTCTAAATGGATTAAAGACTTAAATATATATAAACCATAATGTACATAGAAGAAAACATAAGCAAAAGATTCCATGACATTGGCTTCACTTATGTCTTTGGGAATACAACTCCAAAAGCAAGGGAAACAAAAGCAAAAATAAACAAATGGGAATACATCAAGCTAAAAGGTTCTGAACAGCAAAAGAAACTACATTAAAACAAAGACACCCCACCATACCAAATGGGAGAAAATATTTACACATCATACATCTGACAGGGGCTAAAATCCAAGACCTACAAAGAACTCATACAACTCAAGGAAAAAACAAAAATCCAGTTAAAAAATTGTCAGAAGAGCTAAACAGACAGTTCTCCAAAGAAGACATACAGATGGTCAACAGGCACATGAAAAAAAATGCTCATTATCATTTACATTATCAGGGACATAGAAATCAAACCCACAATGAGACAATATCTCACACCAGTGAGAATGGCCCATATCAAAAAGACCAGAAACAAATATTGTTGGTGAGGATGTGGAGAAAAATGTACCTTCCTACATTGTTAGTTGGAATGTAGACTGGTCCAGTCTCTATGAAAAATAATATGGAGGTTACTGAAAATATTAAAAATAGATCTACCATATTATCTAGCACTAATTCAAAGGCATATATGCATGCCTATGTTTATTACAGCATTATTTACAATAGCCAAATTATGGACTCAATCTAAGTGTTCAATGCCAGATGAATGGATTAAGATGTGGTGTGTGGGCATATGAAAAAATGTTCAACATCACTTGTAATCAGGGAAATGCAAATCAAAACTACCATGAGATACCATCTTACACCAGTGAGAATGGCACATATTAAAAAAACTAGCAACAACAAATGTTGGCGAGGATGTGGAGAAAAAGGAATTCTCCTGCACTGTTGGTGGGAGTGCAAACT